CCCCCCCCCCCCAACCCCCAAAAAACACAAATAATATAATAAAATAAGCACAAAGAACAGACTTGAGCTTCTCGTTTCGTATGGATATAGAGCGAACTGCGAAGGAGGCAATGGACGAATCTTTGATCCTTATTGCAGCATTTGCAGCGGGGCGGTCGTTGTGCACAAGCCTAGCTACTGGTATCGATCTATCAAGAATCAGCAGGAGTGGCCAGCATTGGCCTGATCGTATGCATACAACTGTCGGCCAATGCATATCTTTCGAGCTAATCCGGTAGGAAATGTGGCAAACCGAAACCCCTAAAAGGAGATGTGCTGGTTTATGGGTTGCCGATGCATGGAGCGGGCTCAGCGCTGTTCACCACAGCTGCAGCCCAGGAAGGGGACAAGGCATCGCACCATAAGCGGCGGTATCCAGGCTCACGAGGAGTATTTCCGATTTCGGACAAGTGTCTGCGGTTTTGAAGGGAGCGCACGACTCCTGCAGCAAGAGGAAAATTCGGAATGCAGGCGTGGTGCTCTTCCAGTGCGCTATATACCACGGCACGAGCGACAGCGACTTTTTCGATAAGGACGGCAGGGCCAGCATCCCAAGTGCCCGTCACCTCTGTTCTGATGGTTCTTGAAGCGCCGAAGAAATGACGACAAGTTGGATCGTGAGCGAAGGGAAATGGAAAAGAAACGAAGGACGATGAAAAGCAAGAGCAACGAGGCAGAGCGTTGAGAAACGAAAACTTGAGGAGGTTGAAACGAAGAAAAGAGTGAAGGAGAGCAAGAGAAGGGAATTGTTCAGCCGTGCGAACTTGCTTCAAAACATGTGAACCTTTTCCAACCCTCATCATGCCAGCAAATCGTTGCGCCCCCCTCCCCCCACCCCCGCACCCCATTCTTCAGCTGCTTCAAACCATATGAACCCTTCCAAACCCCATCATGCGAGCATTGAGTAAAGCCCGGGGTTTGTCGGCACAGAGTATAGGGGCATCACTTGGCATGTAGGCATAGAGTAGAGGCCTAAAGTGCAGGCAGCGAGTTTTAGAGCCTGGGTCCCCCCTCGTTAGGGAAACCGGGCCATATGGCCCTTGGCGTCAAGGGTTCCCCTTTGGCATCCCATACCAAAGGCTTACCCTGAGACCTATGTAGGCATAAAGTAAGGGCCAGACCGTAAGAGACCCCAAACCAAGCCATGACGACGTGCCGTGCGACCGGTGCCCAGAAGCCAGGACCGTTCTGGAAGTCACCGCCAGCACGCGTCAAAAAGTGCACGGGTCCTAGGTGAGAGCACGATTTCAGGTACGGAATGTGCAGGGTGCTTGGGCCAGAACGCGATATATCGTGTTGTGCACCGCTAAACCTGGTTTTTTCGATGAAAACGCTAGACAATGTGCACGGGACTTAGACTCCAACGCGATTTATAGAGGAGCATCAAAACAACTTCATGGGGATCAAGAGCTGCAGCGTCCGGCGGCAACAGTTTTGGCCGAGAGACTCAGAGATGGAAGCAAGAGAAAGTCACAGAAATAATCGAGATGAGTGCTCACGCGACAAAAAGCACATTGTCACGTAAACACATGATCTGATGTTTTCGACTCTGGTTTTCCAATATATGTCATTTTGGGGATCAGCCGTGCGTATTCGTGTCATGACGCGCTCGATGTAGTCAGGCATTATGTATACCCGCCGGCATAGGTTCGACTTGTCTGTGCATTTTCATTTTTGGATTCCCCGGATTTGCAAGATCGGGGAGCCAACAGTTCAACACGCCACAACACGAAACACCCTGCCAGGTGGGTGTGCATTTGGCCCGCTTGGTTTGGACCTCAGTCAGAAGTTGTGTGCCCCAAAATGCCACGCGCAGTTTCGATGCAGTGTGTGGCTCTGCCACATTCTGCCACCCGAAGGCTTTTTCTTTACTTGGACGCCATTCTGGTCTACGATATATAGGCCGATTGTTCTTGCCATCCCTCGTTGGGCGGGGGGGGGTCGAGGAACACCCAAACCAGCATGATGTAGGATTTCCGAAATTAGGCTTACCTCTTCGGGTCCGTATTATAATAAGGGGTTCCTACTATTTGGTCTATGCCAGGAGTCCTCGTATTTTCGTAAACTCCCATGTTTGTCAGCTTATGCGTGTTGAGGTGGCACTCAGTCCTTGGCTTGTGGGTGCAGGGTTCACAAGCCAAGAACGAAGCCTTGACAAGAACACGGCCTCGATTGTTGTCTGCTGAAAGAAAATAAAGAAACCATTGCGGCCGCGTTCCGCGACTGCAGGCCGAGTACGCCCGAGTACGCTCGAGTACGCCCGAGCACGCCCGAGCACGCCCGAGTACGCCCGAGTACGCCCGAGTACGTCCGAGTACGCCCGAGTACGCCCGAGTACGCCCGAGTACGCCCGAGTACGCCCAAGTACGCCCGAGTACGCCCGAGTACGCCCGTGTACGCCCGAGTACGCCCGAGTACGCCCGAGTGCGCCCGAGTACGTCCGAATCATACCCGGTCATACCCGGTCAAAGAAACCACCCAACCCTCTGAAGCGAGGCACACGCCCGACCAAAGCCCGGAAAAAAAAAAAAAAACATGTTAAGCGCCAAGTGGTACATTGCAAAGAAAGAGGTTTTGATGCTCGGCCTTGTAAGGGAGATGCTGGGACACGGGGTGTCTGAAGCAAGAAAAAACTTGGTGGCCACTTGGCGCACGAACTTTTGAGCATGCGCTTCCACAGCAACTACACAGCACATCTGCCCAGCACTCCTGCCAGGATAGTCGTCCATCACAACCTATACCGAAAGTCTTTGCCACCGTCGGAAAGACCAGCGATTGACTATGACATGAGTCTAAAATGAGTACGACTGCGCACAAGCTTTTCCGCTTCAACGGGTTCTGCACAAATGGCAGCCCACACCCCGAAGGCCTCCTCTGCGTGCTGGGCCCAAACCGTCCGCTGATTCAAAAACAATCCACAAACGCCCCGTCCCGAAAAACCACAAAGTTCATGTTTGCAATGTGCGCATACGGCCATTCGTGAAGAGGTGTTGACCCTTTCGAATACGGCAATGCCACGTCGTCCGAGTCTCGCGAGCGCCAGGCAGGCCCCTTGACAGCTGAAGCTTGGGCACGTGCCAACTGCTCAAATTGGCTGCAGCTCATGGACCTCGGCCTCAGCCCCAACGATGAGGGTGCCCCGCTCAGGTTGCCATTGATGCCCAGACAGAAGTTCGGGATGAGTGCCGCACAAGAGTCGGAGTTTACGTGGGTTCGAGTTGTCTGCTTAGACGCATGCACAAACGTAGACGGAGATTTCCACAAGCTGCGCATGCCATGCAGTGATTCAGGCGCGGCAGAACTCAGCTCGGAGGCCTGGTTTCATGGTCTCGTTATGGGTTAAAAGTGAGAGGTATGCACGCAGGCACCACCACAGCACATCACAGAAGATGGAAGGAGTCCTGGAAGGAGGGTTTCCGTTGTTGTTGCTGCTGCGGTTGCTGCCGTTGTTGCTGTGTTGCTGTTGTTGCTGTCGTTGCTGCTGCTGCGGCTGTTGCTGTTGTTGCGCGCTGTGGAAGGTCCGGCAAGCCGCCGAATACAAACTCAACCTTTTTGCTGGGCGTGCTGGGGGCCAAACCTTTCGAACACCAGTGAGGGTTGACTGTTTGGTAATGTAAGCTTGCCACTTTCAATCTGGCATTCGCTCCCAAAGCTTGACTTACTGCCTCACCTGCGGTTCATCCGAGGCTAAGCTGCTGGCTGGCGCCCCATGTTGCGATGTTCGACGACATGTCTTCAGGGGGAGACTGTTGCAGTTGCATTTGAAGCTTCGGGCACGAGTAGTGGACTGGAAGAGAGTTCACGTGATGTCAAAAATCTGAGGATTCGACCATCAAACTTCGTTCTAGTTTCCATGTTAGTATAACAATTCTGTTCTTTGATGGGTTGATGTATTCTCCGATCTAGGCCACAAGTTGCAACATGCCATGCATATTCATATCTCACATGTTACCCTTTCTTCTTGTCTGCTTATCCAATTGCGGCTGTTTTACGCAGGACTCTGGGCTCAGAGTCAAGGGTTAATTCCCTGGATCCGGAAGCGTACAGTGTGGGCTTCAGCCGAGCCCCTCCAAGAGGTGGGATCCAAAGTCGCCCTTCTGAGAAGGATGCAAGCCTCACTCGTTCTTTCTTTTCTGGTGTGGGGATATCGGAGAAATCGGTTTTGAATGGGTGGTTTAGTGTATTCGAGGGTGTTATTGTTGAATGGTCTGAGTGATTGACTGGCCCGCGATAGCAAAACTCCAGACTACTCTTATTGGGCGAACAAACCCAGTAAGGTGTTGGAGCGCACGTTGCTTCTTAAAATGTGTCAGCAAAGACGAGAGAAAGATGATGATACTCACATGACAGAAGTAACCAGCAACAGATCTGTGATGGGTTTTTGTTCTGTGATTTGGGCCGGGCATGCACAGGTAATGGCCGCGGTACCGTTCGCAAGGTCTTTCGCGGGCAGCTGAGAGATGTGCAGGCTTAGGGTCACATGCATTTTTCTTCCGTGCCACTGTAGCAGCTGTCTTTTGACTGAAGGTACTGCTCATCTATGTAGCCACAGCCGGGAGCCCCGCATTGCATGCACAACCCTCTTCCATGGCCGTAGGGAAGCAGGGCTTCGCTATCGAAGAGGAAGTTGTTTGGCACTGTGTTGTTTTCTATGTGTGTGTGTGTGTGTGCGTGTGTAAGTTGGGGGTTGCGTTTGGATTTACTACTCTGCGTAGCGAGTCAGGACCTCAACCTGTGTGTGGGACCGTCTAATTACAATGCTCGTTTCATTGGCTCGAGTCGATGTGCTGAAGCCCTCGACGACCGATTCTATTGCTAATGATGCTAATGGACACCGCCGTGATCTCAAGGCTGACCACACATTGCAGACCCTCCGCACATGCTCGCAGCAAAGCACTCAGCCAGATCCCTAAAGTCCTGCCTGCGCCTGGTCCTTGACGTCCATGGAGCACTATGGAGACATGGGTCATCCTTCTTGCCGTGACCTTTGTGATCTTACTTCTCGGAACAGTGGCAGTCTTGAGGCCGATCCGCCGCGATTCGTGAATGAGCATTAACGGTATAGCTGCTTCTGCTCACGCTGATTAGTGATGTACATTTGTTTGCTTCCCTCCCCTTGATCTACTGTCGTATGCAGTTCCAGGCCTCATTCGTAAATACCTCCTCTGGAACTCGTTCGTACTTAAATCATGTTGTATTTCACACAAAAAGGCCACGCCGTGAGAAAGAAACCGTTCCCATGCCTCGTTCTCAGAGCCACTCCATTAAAGCAACCTAGATACTCGTTTTGCTTCTACGACCCGCAAAAGTCAACAACCAATTCACATTGTTGGGCAAATCGCGAAAACACCAAGCACATGCAAGGGACGCCATCCTCACCCCGAAAGACTGTTCTTTTGAGCTCGTTTCTTTTCGAGTATTCCAAAAACCCAAAAGCGCGCTGAGGGATCTCTTGGCCCTTGATTTACAGCCATCCCAAGAGGCTGTCGCAGAGATGAAGAAACGGGTTAAATACAAACACGCGTAGACCCTTTGAAATCTATGGTCTATTGGTACTCTGAATGCGGTGAATGAAGCCAGGTGTCTCAGCCAGGAGGAGCCAAACACTCGCCCACCCATTTCGGGGTTAACGCTGGGCGCTATTCGACCTCACACCTTTGCTATCTTCAATGGCTGCTTGGATGCAAAGAGTAGTACTCGTCGCCTAGCATATGCATGCTTGGAGACTTCGCCGTTGATCTAGGGACTTCGCCCTTGATCTAGGCTTGGTTGGTTCGGTGCCTAAACGGTTTGTGCCACTTTAGGACACTTATCAGAATATCATCGCGAGGCAAGAACATTCTCCGCAAGAACAAGCGTTAAAAATAAGGCTATTTTCGGGGGTTCTCATGCTGCAATTGCTAACTCCTTTATGTTGTAGGGAGTGTTAGTTAGTCTTAGTTCATATCTTTATTATGTGGTTTTCTGCGATCATGTGTTCCTGATAATATAATCACGAGGTGAGAACGAAGATAAAACATATGGGAGAGAATATGAGGCCAGTCGCTCGTAGGAGGCATCGAGTTCGAGTCCTTCCTGCTTGGCGGCTGGAGTTCTGTCGAGCCACCATTTCTGGCTGAAAAGTTGAAACTTTGGGGAGTATCTACCTTCGACAGGAGACAAAGGAGAAGTCCCGAGAACTATGAAATGGTCGGGATGCTAGCGGGCTAAGGCTGCAAGTAAGTAGTGTCACGAGCACCACTCCGCAAACCTCGCTTTTACTTCGGTGAGCGGGCTCAGTGGGCGGGAGCTTCCAGTTTCAAGTCTGTGCGTTCGCTGCCACGACCCACTGCCGAGTTATGTGCAGCTCAGGGCATCAACTTCCATCTTTCTCTTTTCAACCTTCATCTTCCTGAAGGTCGGTGGGCCGACACTTCAACTAGACAAGGTTTCTTTACGAGACTGTTTCGAGAGTTCGATGTTTCGAGTCTGCGAGTGCTTGCAAAGAGGTGAGCTCAATTTGAGGTTGAAGATGCTTGCATGTTTGGGTTTGTCATGTACTCTCATGGGACGTACAGAGGCTGATCATCGTTGCTTTCATTTGCGACTGTTGCATCTGCTAAGTTCGTAATATTTTTCAGGCAGCTGCGAAAAGCGCAGGCGCAGCAAATCTCATTTGAAACTTGATGCTCGGTGGCTGCTGGGTGTCAGAGAGCATCCGCCAGAGGCAGGGGCAGAAGCAGAAGCAGAAGCAGAAGCAGGGGCAGGGGCAGGGGCAGGGGCAGGGCAGGGGCAGGGCAGGGGCAGGGCATGTATGTATTGGCGGGGCAGGGCATTGGCATGGGCAGGGGTAGGGGCATTGGCAGGGCCAGGGGCAGGGGCGCGTTGGTTCGTGGGCTTGGGCAGGCTATCCTTCAGTCGGAGCAACGCGACCTGAGACTGCGGGGTTGTCTAAAGGTCAGCTGGAGCATTTAGAGAGCCCGAGGCGCATTTGCGTGACTGATTCGCTTTCAGCTTTCATGTGGTGCAGGAGGCCAAGCAACTGAGCTCCTTGTTTGCGATGCTTTTGTTGCCTACTTTGACTACGTTACTAGCTCGAGAACCCGTTGCAAGGGGATGCTGGTGAGGGACATGTGGAGTCGATGCACAGCTCCTCATGCGTAGAGGTTGTCCGGGAATCAGGTTTCAGTGCCGGGGCGCTCACACACATGAAGGATAAGTAGCAAATTGTGAGGGGTGCGCCTCGAGATTTGAGGACGAAGGCATCGCCAAGCGATGACCAGGCGGAAGAAGAGTTCTGGCTGAGGCCGTGCAGGGCTCAAGTTGATGCTTGAGGAGCATCCAATTTTGGCTGCATGGGGTTTCTCCACCAAAGAAAGACTAAGAAAGTAGTAGTGCTTGGATTCGCTTTAGATCGAATCCGTGCACGTTCTGCAGCACGCTTGACTAAGCAGGTTTACTTGGGTTTTTTACTTGCATATCTGATCACCACAAGCCACATCTGGGTTGGTAAGCACGAGCAAACAAAAGGCCCGGCTGACAACGGGACGTACAAACTGGAATGCGAGAACTGAGCCAGCTGTCAGGCGCGCTTACTCCATCTCGGCACAAAGCAAGCTTCGTGGAGTGTTCAACCATGCTAGGAATCCAGCAGGTACGTAGGAAGATCCAACACTCCCTCAAGTCATCTAAACAAATTGGAACCCATACACATCAAACCCGACAAACGCCTGCAGATGGGTGGCAAAATACGAAGTCTACGTTCAATATGTCCGCCAAAGCACTCTCAACAACCCCTTTGGCTATTGCTTTGTCATCTTAGGTTGACCTGCTAGGCTTCATTTAAACTCGTGAAGAGTCCAAGCTATTGAACTGCAATATCAGAAGAGATCCGAGCCCAAACAAGGACAGGGTGGCAGTGAACCGAAACAATGTCAAGCCGACAACTGTCAGGCGACGGAGGCTGTTGTCTTCGGCAGCAGAATGTGTGGCACCAGATAGCTGCGATTGCGAAGTCGCTGAGGATGAGTGATCGTTCTTCTGGACGATTGTCACATATAACCTCATGAAACGAGCATGTTGCGATCCGTCTTCGATCTGTTGATTACGTTCTGGCTTTACTGCCGCCATGATCCTTAGCTTCTATTTTGGCTTGGCAGAGGTAGTGTGGCTATTTCACAAGATCGAGTTCGCATCTTGTGGACATCTGACATCCTTGGGCACAGGGCACGTGACGGATGCGACATGCTGCAGCTTTTCAGTTTTTCCAAGTAAGGCTAAGATCATACGTCAACCCCGTGCAAGCAACTCGGCCACGGACCATGCAAAAACTGCAAACTACACTGCAGTGAGATGCTGTGGTTCAAGATCTGTGCGGCGGTGCTGTAGGGAGGTTGTGTGGCTGTGAAACTTCCAACTTCATGGTCCTTCGAATACTGTATCGGTTGCTGATGGGTTTGCAGATTCTGTACTTGTTTGTCTACAGTCTAGATGCGGTAGATTGTATGGCTGTGTAATGCTATGTGCATGTGTTTGCCTTACCTGCCAGGGACGACTGCTCTGCTGCACCATACGTGTTTTCACCGAGCCTAATTAAGTCGGGGTTGCAGGCGTGGTACACATCATTTCAGATCAGCACGCTGTCTTGGGTGTGTGGACGTAGTGACGTGCGTAAATGCAGCGGCCTGTACTCCTTGCAGTGCAAGTGCCTTCCGTGCCGTACATGCACCCAAGACATCCGCTGCAATGCGCAGCTTGGAGTTGCAGGGCAATAAGTGGAACTGGCTCCGGTGGTCCTTGGTGCCCCATGCCTGTGAGAAATACATTGGCCTCCTGCATCTCTGCGTGGAAAATATGACCTAGGCGAGTGCTCGAGGACTTGTGTTTGGAATTGTATTCCTCTGCGTCGCATGACATCTGTGATGGCGGCACACTAGCGATCTCACATGCCGCGCTCTGCGCACCGTGGCCCAGGTGAACCCCAGGTGGAACCTTAAAGCAGCTTAGGAAGCTATCTAGATTTTTAGGAGAGACGCATGCTTGAGAATTATGCCGTGCAAATTTTCGACTTGTTAGTGCCTTGGCGCCAGCCTTGCTGACCGCCTCGCGCTTGAATGGTCCAGTCCTATCTTCTTGCATTGGGCGCTGCATTGCTGACATGCTTGGTCACTGCGCACCTCGTCTGGCAAGTTAGGTCCGAGGGTATCTGTTCTGGCACAAGATGGAAGGTGTATGAAGGTGTTTTGATTCTGGGCAATGGTGGCCTGAGCCACGTGAGAGCATGGGAATCACGGTGGAGAAGTGTTCCGAGTTTGGGCTTCAGCCAAGCTTCTGTAAGCTTCTGTTTGCAGGCATTGGGTTATGTTTCACAGATTCCATGACGTCAAGGCTGGCGTGGTCTATCTGCTGGCTGGTGAGGCCTCTCGTCCTCAGAAACGACGCCCCACCGAGCCTTGTCCTCGACTTGCATGAAGGGCTCTTCTGAACATATCTTTCGTGTCGTCCGCAAGCCCGTATACCTTCTCGGCATAGACGGCATCATTGCTTACAAGGGTATGCTATCTCAAGCATGGCTCCTTAAATTATTCGGCATGCGCGAATGCACGACGCTTGGCAGAAGTGTTCAAGCAGCTACTGTCCCCTACAAAAATCTCAACGATAAAGCTTTGGAACTGAGAACCTAAGCGGGAACCTTTGGATTTTGAGCACCGCTTTCTGCTGTCGAAACGTGACCAGCGCGGGAGGAGACTCGTTTTGCACAGGTCTTCTAGTAGGACAGTATAGGACCGTCATCTTCAGGTTCACTGAGCTCTCTCTCATTCTTGTTCCACAGGAAAATGGGGGTTCTTGTCGCTGTCCCCTATTATAGAAAAGCATGCGTTACCTTAGAGTTTACTATACCAAGAGGTTGGTTTTCAGGTCGTAGCGTCTAGTTTCCAAAGAACCGATAATACAGTGCCCTGTCGCTCTTACTGTATAAATTTCCAGGTATCCTCCCCATCTTGGACAGCCGCTTCGCGTTGGCACTTGCTGTCTCATCTCGAAGTGTTTCCCACTTCCTCTTTGACCTTCTGCAGCCATAGATGGACTCACGAGCCCGCCACCGCTCATCTTTCGTGGCCAGTCCTAGCTTGACTAGGACAGGCAGTGGTTTCGTCACGCGCGGTGGATCGTTGGGATCAGTCGCAAGCACGCGAAGAGTCCACAGCGCCAATGCACCAATCCTTTCGCTGAGCGGTTTCCGATATCATCAGCCGTGCTTCGGCAGTCCCAGCGTGGTTTGAACGCGTTAGGGGATTATTCGGCGACTGCCGACGCACTGGCCTCAAAATCTCCAGATTCAACTGTTTTCGTTGCTCTGATTTCCGCATTTTCTTTCGCGTACGCTCCCTGCTCTTCCATGGAAGCCCGCCAGCCATAGGCTGCGCTCTTCCTCTGTTCCCTGCTCCCTGAAAGAACACAGAACTATCGACCTCTTCTGCCGTGCCATCACCTTTGCAGAGAGCGCGGAGAATGAGGTGAAAGAGAGATTGGGCGACGTGGCTTCTTGAGAACCTTCCGGCAGCAGTGCGCAATAGTGCCCGCCCAGTTCCACTTGCGCCGCCACGTGGCCCCGAGAACTTGGCAATGGCTGCATGCAGCGTTTAAGCATTTGAAGATAGCTTACTCATGCTATGAAAGCGTTGCCTACCGCAATTTCGTAGGAGGCTAAAGTAAGTTGCAACGAAGTTAGTTTTGGCGTGTCAGAACTTCCAAACCCCTCTGTTGTTGTGTAGAAGCTACTTAGCTTTGAACTTGGAATAACTGCAACTCTTGCCGCCTCTTCATGACTACTTGTTCCCCACTCTCGGTCTTCTCCTCGCCTGGTCTACTTCTCCTCGCCCGGTCTACTCCTCGCCCAGAGTGTCCCTGGAGTGCCAACCCCAGAGTGTCCCAACCCCAAAGTGTTCCTGGAGTGCCCAACCCCAAAGTATCTCTACCCAGAGAGGGTGGGGATGTTCGAAGTAAAAAAATTGACGTTCGAAGTAAAATCATTGTTTCCAGCAGTGCAAAAGCAGAGCAGACTGAGTTCGTGGCTGTGGAGCGCAGATCTGGCTACCCACTGGCGCTGCAAATGCCAAAGAACGAAGGAGAACGCATGTCTGTGCGAGCAGCGTGCTGGGGCACAAGAAAGTGGCGCAGGCCGATGAGAGTCCGGGCGAGCAGGAGAGCTTGACTGCCAGCATGCTCCTTCACTCCTTGAGTGTTATTATTTGGAGCACGGCATTTTGCCTGCTGAAGAGAGCTGAAGCCGACCTACTATAATGCATATGTCTTATTACAATCTCCTCATCTACTCTGCAAGCAGTGGACAGTGGAACATGACCTGGACGATCGCATTCGTCTCCGACCATTTGGGCTTTGCAAGAACCTTTCCAGCAGCCTGCTTATCCATGTCCCCCGACGCCTTGTTGAGGTGCATGGGCGGGCGTCAGTCCCCGTCCTTGCACACACACACCATTGCCATTGGAGCCACCATGGCCCTATATCGCAGACCCCCTAGATGTAGAGGCCAAGCGAACGGCGTCGCGCGTGTGTGACCTTGAGTATGCTGATGATACTGTCCGCTTGGAACTCAAACATGTTTGGCGCAATGTTCAACACGAGGTCTTGATGAGGACGAATGTAAGCACCTTCGCATTGACATCACGTGCCGAATGTACTATCAACCTACCTCCTCTCAGCCATGTGTGTGCTCTCATCCTACGCGGAGTGCCCCAGTGCTGGACTCGGTTCCATTCGACAGACGAAGCTTTGAAATGGTTCCACCAACTCCTCTCTCCCACCATCTTGTACCGGTTTGTCATGTAATCTATTGTAGTGTAGGTTATGGGAGTTGTTGCGCTCGCTCCCCAGTCGCGCAGGATCTTGCTCCATGGCCAAGACCTTTCCATAGACCGCAAAGCCCGCAAGAAAGTCTGTTCAGGCATGCGGAAGTGGTTGGGTGGGACAATTTGGAACACCTCAAGGGCAGATGCCCCAAGTGTTTCTCTGCACGTGCTTGGACCAAGGAGACACAAACAGACAGCCACGTACCCTGGTGGAGCGTTTACCCAAGCGCGGGTGTACCAGAAATAAGTGCTGTGGTGCAAGCACAGACGTCGATGCACCGAGGAGCGCTTTATGCGTGCAGACGCAAACAAGTCGCTTAATTCACCCGCATTTTCATTTGAAGCTACGAGCTGGTCCCCGCAGCATATTGATCAATGGGTATCATGCCATCTGACATCTGCTACGAAAGAGGTTCTGACCACGCCAGGCACACACAGCCCAGAAGAATGTACAACCGCTGCCAAGTGTTCATCGGGCAGACGGAAGTGCTTCCGAAAAACAACACTGTGAAAGCAATTTTCAAACATGTGCAAGAAGCCGTTTCGGGAGCATTGCAATGTCGAAATGGACAGTAGGTGGCCGCAGACCTACAAAAGCAAGATGCGTTGTTGGCACTGTGCAGTGCACGTCAGACTCTCACGGTACAAATGTGCTCTGTTGTGTTTGTTGTGGCCTGGCTACTTCAACGCATAGTTTGGCTTTTGCTTTGGCTTTGGCTTGATTGTTGCCGGGTGCAAGTTTGCTCGTGGCATGCGCTAGAATTTTGTTTGGGTGTTCGCATACAACGCATCTTCAAGCACATGGTCAACAGCCGTCATAAGGATGAAGCTTGGGTTTGGGACAGTGCTGTTCTGCTGGGCTACAGCATTTTGGATTGCAAAACCAAGGAGCACAATCGAGGGATTGTCGTTGGGGCCACCCGGCAAGAAAGAAACAGATGCAGCAACCAGTAGTCAGCGTTCATTGTAGGGTTCGTGCAGACAGCGAGCATTTTGGCCAGAAGCAAGCCAGGTTGGGCTATGCAGTGGGAGGTCTATAGTGCAGCAAGTGAGAAGAAGCCTCCAAAGAACTTCGAAGCACTGGAACAGCTGAGGTCGTTGGCAAATCTGTCCTTGCTCCAAATGATCTTGAAGGCCCACCAGCTCCAAAAAGAGGCAGCGGACAGACTCCCATGTGGGTTTGCTTGGGGTCTTCGGATATTCAAATGCCAACATCAATTTAGCGTAGCGGACAATGAGGACTTTGTTTTAATGCAAGAAGAACTGTGAGAGTACTTCGGAGCCTGCCTGTCTTTGCGCTGTACGAGCCGTTACATTCTGTTGGCTGCTTGTCCGAGGCCTATCCGGCTAGCATTGGCAAGGCCTTCTAAGCACATACTGATCTCACATACTGATCTTGCTTTCAGAGTAGTCTTACTCGTGCTACCTCCCCCCCCCCTCCACAAGAAGTCAGCAATAAGGACAAGAGGCACCCGAAGTACCCCCCCCCCTCCTACACCACTCACGTTAGCTACATGTAGCTTTCTTGCTCTAGGTTGCCTTCATGGAGCAGATTTCCGAGGCCCAGGAGGTTGACAGCGAAGTGTCCCTTGGGTGAAGAATAAGAGGATGGGGTGGTTTGGTTTTAGGCTTGTTTCGTTTGGATTTCTGACTGCGATTTGGCAAGGGTGCTTCAGGAGTTCAGGTTTCCTGCGGATTTTTTGCCCGGAAGGTGCATTTTTTGCTTAGGCGTTGCAAGATTACCTTCAAACTGCTGTGCACGGGGTCCATGCTGTTCTGAAGCTTCGAGCAGTCAGCATGTTGTTCGATTTCGGGGTAACATGCCATTGACTGCCACTGACCCTATGGTCGAGCGCAGAGCATCCAGAAAGCAATGTGGTTCTGTTGTGGACCACAGGCAAAAGCCTCAGTCTTACCTGCAATCCTGATCGATTCATCCCAACACTTGTTCTTCCAACCTTTGAAGCAACTTACTCGCCAATACAGTTGGAGCAGTCCGAGGATATGCACGATTTGCTTGGAAGTCGCTTGGATTGTTGAACGCCTGTGCAGTCAAGTCACCATTCGTGGCAGAAGGGAGTTGCAACTACAAAAATCTTCTTAGCAGCTATGCAAGGCAATATGTGACCATGGTTCAGCCAAGAGACTGAAGTGTGGGCATGTGGCTTGTCTGAGAGAATGGGTGCTTCATTGGCTTCGCCCATATTGAGTGCTGATCCGAAGTAGAAAGGGACGTGTTTGGCTGCATGTGTTGACTCGTTCGTTCGTGTGTGTGAGCATGCGATGCCAATGACCACGTACGCCAAAGCAGCGTGGCAGCGACCATCTCTGGATCATGTCAAGAAGATGCTGCTTTCACGTGCCTGCCGATGACCGCCCCCTGAACTCTTGTAACATGCGCCGCACATATATAGGTTGTATTTATTGTGCGGTGGCGTCCGTGCTGTCGGCATGTGTAGAGCATGGCAAAGCTCGCAGTTTGTCCCTTTGCAGAACATGTGATGAACAACATCTTGGCAAAGCTTGTTTTGCAGCGGAGGGTCGAGAGCTAGTAGAGATCAGAGTTTGGGTACGAATTTAGTCCATTGTGTTCTTTCAATTTTCGTTCTCAGTACGAGGACCCCGAGAATCGCAGAAACATTTACTTCATCACATAGTTCATCTCAATATTTCAAGCAGGTTCGGTCCTCCCAGGAGCCCAAAGTGTATTCATTCATTGAAGTAATAAGGATATCGGACGATCTGTTGAGTTCACGTAGTTATGTTGCCTGCGCACGGAGACGGGCCGTCGACGCTGCCCGTGAGAACTTGTAGCACGCATGAGATTGCGTCCTATTTAATATCTTGGCATCGTTGGATCGTGAGGTGACACAGTTAAGCAGCTTTTGCCTTCGGTTGTTTGCAAGCTCGTACACTTGGTTGCCATGCAAACCTGACTTGCTCCATCAAAGAACTCGGATCGTTCTGGTTCTGCTCTGGCCAGTGTTTGCGATGTGCTGCGGCGTGATTAAGCTGCTTCGTTAGTCGGCCCACATTTCACTGTGGATGTAATTGCGGGTGCGCCCTGCTGAGATCGACCAGGGATCCTGCTCCCCCACTGCTGGCTGCTGCAGTTGTTTTCTGTGTCATGAATTGCCCACAAGGCAGCCCAACTGTCGAGGATCATATTCAATCCCAATTTGGGGGAAAATCAGTATTGAGGCGGTTCCTTTTGCCAAAATGAACAGCAAAATCGTGAGTGGCCTCAAAAGCTAGCGCTGGATCTCGTTCGCACTTGGCCCTCATAAAGGCCTGATCTCCATCCTGGTAGTTGGTTGCATTCAAGGATCTGAAATTGGAATCCACATTCAAGCTTCATTGGCATTTAAGCATGGCGCACGTAGACACGTAGAGATGTAGAGCTCCAACTCTACAGCCCTCAAGTTCATGCATCAGGAGGAGCTCTGTGAACAGCTCTCGAGGCCTATCCATGCCTATCCCTGCTCTCGGACGCGGCTAGAAATCCAAGTCCTAATTTGGAGCAACCCGGTGAACTCGCCGAGCTGACCAGTAGCTGACCTGATGTCGAGGTGCACCACGCGTCGTGCCTGTTGAGCTGGTGTTTGCGGTCCCAAGGCGGGTATCGAGTGCCGCCTTGGTTGTTCATGCTGGGCCGCATTGGGTTTCATTAAAAGCACGCCTGGCATTTTGCACTCGGAGTCATGGGAAAGGTTAGCACGGTGGAACCAGTCAACAGAAGGAGAAACGGGTTAAGGCAAGGGTTCTGCAACAAATTGTTTGC